CCACACCGGCTAAGCGATAGGGAGCAAGAACTTCTTAGGATAAGAGGGAAACCCCGGCAGGGTGAGTGATGGAGTGCGAGGTGTTAAACCGGAGTCAGCGTCTAATGTCAGAGGAAACTTGATAAGTGGTTTATGAATTACGAGAAATATGACCACGGCAGAGGAGGAGAAGGGGGAGCCAGGAATAAGGGAGGAATAAGCGGAGCTGGCTTTCAGCTCCGTGGGCAAACAGCCGCGACTGCTCCCRGAGGTGCGGGCCGCCCTACCTGCCCAGAGCCCCGCGGGACACCGCGCCTCTTTCCCCGCACCGGCTGCGGAGAGAGAGAGGAGTGGCCCCCGCCCCGGCCCTCCCGCCGGCCACTGACCTGTTTTAGGTGGGTTTCTTTTCACTTTCATCCAGTCGAAAGTTTGCGCCGGCGGAGAGGTCTCGGAGGAGGGGGAGCGGGCGTTTTCCCGGTGGCCAGCGTGGAGRGGGGACAGGGCATGGTTGTAGGTGCCCAGGGGCAGGCTTTGCTGCTCCTGCCCGTAAGGGGGAGGCACGTACTGAGCGGGGGCCCCCGCGTAGCCCTGGTGCGGGAGCGGGTGCTGCGCGGCGGCGGAGGTGGAGATGCTCCCCGAGTACACGGCGGGGGCACAGGGAGGGAAGCCGCCGCCCAGCTCCGCGTCCTGCCCCAGGGGGTAGGGGCCGTACGCCGCTCCGAAGCCCTGCGCGCTGTAGGTCGGGCCGCAGCCGGGGTGCGCGTAGGACACCCCCAGCCCGCCGTGGTGCTGGTAGGCGGCGGGCTGGGCCGGGGGGTGGTGGTGGTGGCGGTGGGGGCTGATGGGCACCCCGCGGCCCGCCAGGAAGCGGTCCTCTCCGCTGCAGCTGCCGGCGCTGACGGCGCAGGGCTGGAAAGTTGTAATCCCGTGGTCGGGGTGGTAGGCGCGGGCGGCGCAACCCCCAGCCTCGCCGCCGAGGACGGGGTACTCGAGGAAGGAGCTCATCCTCGCCGCGTCCCTCTGTCACTCCGCCACCGCGTCTTCAGCGTCCGGCGGGGCCGCGTCAACTTTCCCACTTCCTCCATGGGGCCGGCAGGAAAATGACACGAAGGCGCCGGCAGCGGGCAGGCACGTGGGGGGCGGCAGCCAATGGCTGCGGCGCCCGCGGGGCTTCCCCGGCTCCTGTCGCTGATACAGCGCCGCGTCGGGGGCATTTAAACGCCGAGCGCTCCGACRGCGCGGCACCGCGGGGCAGGGAGGCGGTGGCGGTGGCCCCCCGGGGGATTGGGGGGGGGCGGGCCGGGCTGTACACACACACCCCCGCCGCGGCAGCCCCCCGGGTCTCGTCCGCCAGCTGAGAGAGGAAGGCAGGACAGACCCGGAGGCTGCGCCCTGCCCGCGGAGCCCACCGGCCGTCCCCTCCAGGGTGAGTGCTGCTGCGAGGGTGCCCCAGGATCATCCCTGCTGCCGGCACTGTCAGGCTTGCACGGGGCACCTCTGCTGCCCACCAACCCCCGGCCGGGGCAGCGGCGGGATGGGGAGGGGGGAGGCGGCTGGGTCCACGGCACTGGGCGAGGGATGGGGCGGAGAGAGACAGAGACAGCGCTGAGAGCATCAGCCMTTGGAACGAGAATGAGAATGGGGCCGTGGATGCGCTTGGGGACTTCCATGGGAATGGAGATAGGGACAGGAATGAAGGTAAGGATAAGGTGGAGAACAGGCGTGGGACCGAGGATATGGATGTGGATGTGGATGGGATGCGGGTGGAGATGGAGACGATGATAGCGCCGCTGCCGGGGGATCTCGCTGGTCCTGCCCTGCCGCAGTCCCAGCGCGACGCCAAGAGTTAAAGGGGCTTGTCCAGCCTCATCGCCAGGCGGCTGCGGACATTAGCATGGAAATGAGCAGCTTTTGGGACTGACGGCCATTGTGCTCTCCCAGGCTCACCGGCCACCCTCTGGCCCTCATTCCTGCTCCCCCCGCACCTCCACAGGGCTCACCCTCGCCAGCYCGGGATGGGGTAGGGAAGGAGGGGCAGGGGGACGAATGATTGCACGGGGCCCGGGGGCTCCGCAGCCCATCTGCTGTGCTCCCGCGGTGCCGCTGCCTCCCGCCCGCCCTGGGACAGGGTGGGGGGACTGCTGTCCGGGGTGCCGCGGGTCGCAGCCCGAGGAGGCGACCCGGGACAGGGGCAGAGGAGCAGCGGGATGCGCAGGGCCATCCGCCCCGGCCCCTTTGTCCCTGCGCTCCTCCACTCGGATCGGCAGTGGCGAGAGGTGGCAGATGGCCAGTGGCGAAGGCGGCCCCAGAACCCTTGGGAACCGCGCTGAGCATCGACTCCACCCTACCCCTCCCCAACCCCGTTGGGAGGTGGGTCAAAAAATGGGTCCGTGGCCAGAGAAGGAGGGACGGCGGTGAGATGTAGGTTACGACCTCATATTCGGTTTACGTATGCGGAAAAGGAAAGGGGGGGTAAAGGCCCGGCATCCGTCTGTCCCGGCGCACCCAGCCGTCTGCAGGCAGAAAGGACGGCACCAAAAGTCTTCAAAAGAAGTTCTGCAAAACGTCAGCCTCTGAGAAAGATGGATGGAAAGTCATGTCCCCTGACACCAACCCCAGGAGGGGATGTCCCCTCTATTTCTGCAGGTGCCGACTCTTACGTCCCTCTGTTGTCACGCTCTATTCTTGCTTGTTTTGAAATCCAAACGGCTCTTCTTCCCCGCCACCACTCCCTGCTCACGAATACTCACACACACCCCCACACACACACCCTCAAGCTCCTCCCTCCCACGCGAACTAAAGGRCTCTCTCCTAGGTGCAAAGCTCTCTTACTGCTATTAGGTCAGCCCTTATCCCACGCCATCTGCGCGGCCTCTCTACCGTCAGCCAAAAGCGAAGGGCGCCTCTCTCCACCGCGCGTCTATCCCGGTGCCCTCAGTATGCCTATTTGTTCTGATTTACTACAGAGGCAGGGATGGTTAAGGGCCCTCTGGAAAGGTTCACTTTCTGAAACTGCAGGGGGGCGGGGTAAAAGACAAGAGCAACAGCACCCCAGAGGCATTTATGGTATTATATTGCACTAATTTTGGCTATGGTTACTGCTGTAAACACATTTATTTCATTCTTGTAAACTAGTTGTGATAAATACTGCATAAAGCAGAGGAAAAAGACAGGCGATTAGGACTGTTTACAAATRAAAGGGCTGACATCTTTTCAGTGCTTTTTCAGTCAGCCAAGAAAAAAAAAATACTCTAAGTAAGCCCCTTTTACCCGTAAATTCCGACAAATCACTTTCCTTACAGACTCCAGCATCCTAAAATCCTTTTTGCTCTGCCTTTTTGGTGCCATTGTCTCTTGTTGCATTGTCTCTCTGGCGAGGCTTTCGAGTTTTGCTCCCCGTACTAAGCATGGGGGCAGAATCATGAGAAGGGTCGGAGCAGAGGGGGAACACACACCRCACCCTCCCTCCTCCGCGGCCAGGCGAGGGGGAGCTACTGCCCCTTCCCCCTGCCCTCAGGCCAGCCCGGCCCTCCGCGCCCCTCCGCGGCTTCTCTTCGCGTTTCCTGCCAGGGGACTGAGGCTGAGGGGGCGATCCGGGTTCTTTAGGATTCTCCGTGGGAGTGTGCCCCCGCTGTGGCCCCAGGGCTCACCCGGAGATTCGGAGGCGGTTCCTGCTCGCTGAATTCCCCCATTTATTTAAACGGAGTTTGCGAGAAGTTTAAACCTTGTAGCACGTTTCCTTTTCCTTTTTTTTTT